TAGGTTGCATGATATCAAAATGGTATGCTTCTGAATAGCCTGTTACTCTCAGCATTACATACTCATGCTCCATGATCTCCACCATCCTGCCCTCACATCCCATCTAGACACCAAGTGGCAGCCAGGGGTTCCCAATGGTTCTTGGGGTAAGGGTGGAATACAGGCTGTTTGTAAAGGAGGCAGAGAAAAGGCTTGAGAGATGATCCAACAGCAGGCCTGGATACACTCCTTACCTGAAGGTGATGGGCTCCATCAGCATCCAGCTGAGCTTGAGAATGCACTCTGCAAATGTGTACAGCACTTGGGGAAAATGCATGAAGTGGAGACCAAACCTGAACACCCTCAGAACCACTGTGAGGTACCTGTGATCCACCCTCTCAAATGCTTTCTCTTGGCTGAGGTAACTGACAGACCATCCCTGTGAGCAAGCTCAAGGAGGTCCCAAATGAAGTACACGTTGTTGATGATGGTGTGCCCTGGAGCTGTGTATGTCTGGTTAGGGTGCATCACATCTACTAGTGTGGACTTCATCCACAGTAAGAATGGCATTGACTACAACCTTACAGCCCCTGCAGAAGCATTAGCCTGGGTGTCAGTTCCTCAGGTTGCAGGGGTGCCCATTTTTGGGCAGCAGGGTCAGCATGGCCCTCTTGCATGCCAGAGGGAAACTCCCTTTTGGACTCATCCCAGACTGTGGTGGGGTCTGGACTAAGGGTGTTCCAGTATGCACAGTGGAGCTCCACTGTTGATGTCCAAGCTTGTTGGTGCACTAGGGGAGCCCTGAACCTGTGTATCCCACTTCCTGGGCAAATGCACTAAGCACTAGGCATAAACATAGGCCGCAATTTTGGGACCTCCCCAGGCTTACCTGTTTGACCAGAGTGAAGCCCTACTGAACAGGCTCAGAAGGCATGTGGTTGGTTTCATGTCCAGAATCAAATCCAAACTTTGTGCAAGCATCAAAACTAGCACTCATCTATCTGGATAACTGCTACTTAGGCAGGTAAAATGGACCAGGATCTCGCCCCAGGTGTCGCCACTGACATGGGATCAGCAAAGGAAACACAGATGCAGAACAGCCTTCCAGCCCACAGGAGATCCAACACACTGGTTTTTCATGTCAAAGCAAGGGAATACTGCACAGTCCCAGCAAACAAGAGCTTCTCTTTGTCCTGCCTCGGAGCCATTTGTAGCACTAATCCATGTTTGAATGGCTTGTAAATTCCTCTCATCACTGGTTCCTGTGACATGGTCATGAGTGAGAGTGGAAGCATAAAAATGTGGCCAGGTGCTCAGGGCAACCGCTACATGTAATGGCAACCAGAAGCTTCCTTGAGCTGCACAGTTGCAACTGGCTGACTGTAGCAGCAGCCACGTTTTCCTACCCCCTCCAAATCCATGCTGTCCTAGTTGCTCTGCCCCAGTTACTCCTGTGCATGTGAGAGGCAGTGAGACTTCAGCTAGTTCAGGTGCAAATAATGGTTCAAAGCCCTGTTCCATGCAGTGCTGGGGTGCCCACGTCAGTGTACAAGTACTTCAGATGTGTCTCAAGATTGCAGTTACACCAAATGGTCACAGGGGGACACTGCAGCTCAACACTGGTTCTCCCAGGCCCTCCAGTCCAGCCCTGACCTGCAGAGCCCTGGACAGGACAGCAGCAATCACACCTGCCTTGGCCTCTGTACTAGCAGCAGGATTCACTGCTCTCGGTCCATTTCCTGAGACGTGTAATCTAGTGGCTGGAGTTTTGGGCAAGTCCCCACTCCTCACCTCCCTAGTCTCATGTTTTTGAGCCCTCAGTTCTTGTGCAAGTTTTGAGAATGATTATAAGGAGTGTAAGATCATTGCTCGGGCATGCAGGAATGAAGTCAGAAAGGCCAAGGTACACTTGGAGTTGCAGCTTACAACGGATGTGAAGGGTAACAAGAAAGTTTTCTACAAGTATGTTAGCAAGAAGAGGAAGGTCAGGCCAAGTCGGGGTCCCTTACTGAATAGCAGAGGCAACCTAGTGACAGATGTTGAGGAAAAGGCTGAAGTACTCAATGCCTTTTTTACCTTGGCCTTCACAGGCAAGATCAGCTCCTAGACTACTGTACCAAGCAGCACACTTTGGGGAAAAGATGAGCAGCGTTCAGTGGTGAAAAAAAATGGTTAGGGACTATTTAGAAAAGCTGGACGTGTACAAGTCCATGGGGCTGGATGCATCTGAGTGTGTGAAAGGAGTTGGCTGATACGATTGCAGAGCCACTGGCCATTACTTTTGAAAACTTTTGGCAAACCAGGGCAGTCCTAGGCAACTGGAAAAGGGCAAATATAGTGCCCATGTTTAAGAAAGGGAAAAGTGAAGATCCAGGGAACTACAGACCAGTCAGCCTCACCTCAGTCCCTGGAAAAAATCATGGAGCAGGTCCTCCTGGAATCCATTTCTAAACACTTGGAGAAGGTGATCAGGAACAGTCAGCATAGATTCACCAGGGGCAAGTCATGCCTGACCAACCTGATTGCCTTCTATGATGAGATGACTGGCTCTGTGGATATGGGGAAAGCAGTGGATATTATATACATTGACTTTAGCAAAGCTTTTGATATGGTTTTCCACAGCATTTTTGCAAGCAAGCTGAGGAAGTACAGGTTGGATGAATGGACTGTAAGGTAGACAGAAAACTGGCTGGCTCATTGGGCTCAACAGGTAGTGATCAATGGCTCAAGGTCGAGTTGGCAACTGGTATCAAGTGGAGTACCCCAGGGTCAGTCCTCGGGCTGGTTTTGTTCAATATCTTCATTAACAACCTGGAAGATGGGATGGAGTGCCCCCTAAGCAAGTTCACAGATGACACCAAGCTGGAGGATGTAGCAGATGTGCTGGAGGGTTCAGCTAGGATTCAGAGTGACCTAGACAAGTTGGAGGATGGGATCAAAAGAACTCTCATGAGGTTCACAAGGACAAGTGCAACATCCTTGCAATTAGGATGGAACAAGTCCATGCAGTCCAGTTGCTTGGGACCAACTGGCTAAACAGCAGTTATGTGGAAAAAGACATGGGGGTTACAGTTGACAAGAAGATGGATACAAGTCATCATTGTGTCCTTGTTGCCAAGAAAGCCAACAGCATACTAGGTTGCATTAGGAGCATTGCCAGCACATCAAGGGAATTAATTATTCCTCTCTATTTATTACTGGTGAGGCCACATCTGGAGTACTGTATCCAGTTCTGGGCCCCCTACTATAGACAGGATGTGGACAAGTTGGAGGGAGTCCAGTGGAGGGCAACAAAAATGGTGAGGGGGCTGGGGGATGTGACTTCTGAAGAGAAGATGAGGGAACTGGGCTTATTAAGTCTGCAGAAAAGAAGATCTAGGGGACTTTTGATAGCAGCCTTTAACTACCTGAAGGATGGTTCCAAAGAGGATGGAGCTGGACTGTTCTCAGTGGTGCCAGATGACAGAACAAGGAACAATTGTTTCAAGTTGCAGCAAGGGAGGTATAGGTTGGATATTAGGAAAAACTTTCTCACTAGGAGAATGGTGAAGCACTGGAACAAGTTACCTAGAGAGGAGGTGGAATCTCCACCCTTGGAGGTTTTAAGGCCCAGCTTGACAAAGCCCTGGGATGATGTAGGTGGGGATGGCTCTGCTTTGAGCAGGGGGTTAGACTAGATGACCCCCTGAAGTCCCTTCCTAACCTAATTTTCTATTATTCTATGATAATGAGAAAGCTGCTGCAAAGCACAATGCTTCCTTGCCAATTAGAGTGAAAATGCTGACACAAGGCATTTCTCTGCTCCCTGGCAGATACCTGGTGCCGATTATAAAATACAACCTTTCTAATAACTAGGTTGGTTTCTCATGCATCATCTCA